CTCACATAGCCATTGATGGCATAGTCTGCACATGATCCAGTAAAATGCTGTTGTAGTTGTTGTAGTTGTTGGAAAAACAAATTAAAATCACCTGGGTTTCACCTGCATTAAATGCGGAATTTGGTTTTTCAGACATTAATAGGGAGGTATGTTCTAGGCGGATGCATTTGATCACTGCCATCTGAGAACCACGCTGAACATCTGAAATGGTTTCGGGTTTTGTACAGAATGCATTTGCCGTATTTGCGTTGCCGTATTTGGTTGCAGAAATCAGACACATTTCGGAGCTTTTCTAGCTTTTGAAAAGTTCCAAAAAAATCCTAAAAAATTTTAGTTTATGAACAAATTTGTTTTCAAATAACATGCGGACATGATGCGCGAGGACTCTTGCGGACCCTAATTACATGCGGGTAACCTAGGGCGTCAAGCGGGCGGAAAGTAATCTATAATTTATGGAAAAGTTACTTCCCGTTTCTTGTGGACAAAAATTTCATTATAGTTTAGGAATCCTTTGTGTCCTGTACGTATGGACAGAATATTTTTGAATTCCTTCATAGCCGAGTTTTAGATTGCAACCTTCAAAAGTTTATATATTGCCTTTCAAAAATGGGCTGGGTTGCAAAGACATAAACACCACCAAAACTGTGAACCTAATTCGGAAGGATCTTTTATTTCAAAAAACCAACACGCATTCGCAATTCAAGTGTGCTTATCTCGCGACATTCATGGAGTTTGTACAGTGAAAACAACCAAAATTAATACCGCCTTCGGATAGCATGAAGGTAAAAATTTACAATACAATACTAATACAAATAACAGTACCAATGCCATAATTATATTAGAATACTAATACAAATATAATAGATGTACACTTCACCTCATCCCGCGGAACCATCGATTTCATGACATGATTTTGCCAGAACCAGCGCTTTTGTGTATTATGCGCTATCAGAAATACCCATTCTAAAATAGGAGTAAACCAGCCAAAATGTAGTGTTCTTTTAGCCTGTTGAAGATGCCTAGTTGAAATGCAACCCGATTGATTTGGCTCCACACAGAAGATTATAACATATATATATATATATATATATACATATCGGGATAATTGTAGCAAATTCATCCGGGGTCGCCAAGAGCGGCATCACTTTTAGAAAATAGCGGCATGTCATTTAATAAACATCTGATAAGCGGAACGTATCATCGCACCTATGTTGCTGATAGAAGCTCCAGCAAAACAGAAATATATATTTTCAAAACGTCCGTGTAAAAACGTTATTGTGTAGAAAATCTATCTGGCAACGATTTGTGGGAACAAGTTATGATCACTTTAACCATTTTGAAGGACACTTCACCATTATATACTTTAGGGTAAATAATATTATTCAAAAGTGTTATGAGCTATTGCCTTGGCTGGGTATCCGAAGTATTGTGAGTTACCGGATGTTATTGGTTATGCCAGTTTTGGTGTTGAAATGCTCTGTGTGTTGTATCACAAGTGAATCCAGCATGAGGATTTAGGATGGGATTACGTTCATCTGGTTATGTCATCCACACGGTCTTTCACCGGCTCCATGGCACATGCGTAAATCATGAACCGCGCATGATTCCCCGTTTCTTTGTAGCACTTCATTGGTGGGTAGCTGCTTCGTTTATTTACAATTGTTTTGCTCATCAGAAAAATGAATGGCGAGTACATAGATATTCCTATTTAGTCCAACTATCCGATTCCAATTGTGATTAACTGAGAATATTTTATCCACGAAAATATAAACCTTTACCATTTGATTATAATATTCACTTAAAATTTGCTCTCCAAATTAAAGCTTTTCAAACACGTTGCCTAAACATGCATGCAAATAATATACTTACCAAATTGCATGGATGAAACGTATCAAGATACTAGAAGCGGCTGTACAAAAGTGTGTTCTATTCAGAAATTATTTCAATATTTGCTGACCAGGATCGCCAGCCAATCAAGTTATTTCCAACTGTATAATTGCCTGTTGTTCAAAGTCGCCGGATACATTCACGCCACATCATCGAAATTGAGATGCCTTAAGCTTGCTTGCTTCATTTCGTTGGGCCGCCTTGCGAGAGGCGCGCTCACTCTGGAATTTAGGGAGATGCTTATACAGAGTTAATCGTTCTTAGGGTATCGCAGAATTATTCATGTTAACACAAGAAGTGTATATGAATACAAAGCCGGGGTTTCCCGTGACTCATCTCATTTTTGGAAGTGTCTACTATAGACGAGTACAAATCTCCAAAACGGGTTAGGGATTGTTAGACACGATGTCTGGATTCGTTGTCGTGCTCGATTCTCACCGACCAGTTCACTTACCGTTGAGTTTTGAAAATTCAAGATGAAATTTCTGATTATGCGGGCTCTATTTATGTGTTCTGGGCACCCTAAACAAGCAGAACAGTTTAGTTTTTTTCACGCGACTTCCTGTCGTGTGGGCGTGTGTAGCGAGATCTCGAAAATCTTCCGTGCACAAGCAGGTTTCCATCAGAGATGTACTCCGTGCACATTACTGTTGAACTACTTAATCGATTAAATCATGCTACGAGCTATAAAAGGTCTTCGAAAACCTCGGTGTTAAATTTTGTGACAAAACCTTGCCGGTCTAGAATACATTGTTGCCATTTCCGAAAAACAGCGGAAGGCCTATGTGTTTTCGAATGAACTGGCTAAGGATATTCCGACATTTGGTCTGCGAGAGAACCTTTTCAATCTGGAATATACAGAGTGCATTGATGCCTTCTTGTAAGAAGAGAACACGCGTGTGTTTCCAAATGAATGGACAAAATATATCCCGACATTTGATATGCGCTTGGCACTCAAACTGCAAGGCCACTCTCATTGACCTGCAGTCACGCCACTCTCTGCCCAGGGGAGATACTAGAAGGTGTGGAGCGCTTACTTATATTAGACATTGTTTCAGTTCCTAATGTGGTGTGACATTAAGAAAATGCATTCATCTGCAAAGCTCGGGGCTTTTTGCTAATGTGAGGCTATTATGGAACCACTGTGATGTAGCTGTAAGTCTCAAATGACGTGCGACTCATGCTGCAGCAAGATCGTTTTTTGTATCCCTGTGAGACTAACCGTGTTCGAGCAGCGGAACAGAGACGTCCTCTGAAGGTCGAAAATCACTGTCTCCGAATCATACAACGTGTTATTAGGAGAAGAGTTTTTAGTTGTGCAACGGGTACTTCCATTAAACTAGTATCCAGCACAGGAAGCTGCGTTGGTCGTGACATGTGTTGCGTAACCACCGTTTGCCTGGAGATTGCTGTATTAAGTGACCAATGCAGCGGGTGTATAGCAAGTGCCCGTGCATTTCCAATATGCACTAAAATCAGAAGTGGAGGATCAGTATGGTCATTTAGCGTTCATAATGCGACAATTTTGCGTCCGTTTTCTTGCAGGGGATGCCGCGAATGACTGGATGCACAATTGGCTATGTTCAGTTGGCCATCCTGCATGAAACGGGTAGTTCGTGGCCGTTGGTCCATTGGATACACAGATGAGTACAATGCCAATTAAACTCATTGATCTTAAGGAAATTTCCAATATTTTTTCTGAAAAACGGTAATCGTACCTTTGTCAAATAAACCTAGGATTCCTGAATTCATTCATCGCAAAATCTGTGAGTTCCTCCAAAATAGAACGTACAGTTACTAAGGGCTAATCCACAAGGCCAGGAAACAAGTATAGATAAGAGGGTGGCCGCAGAAGAAGTGAACACGTGCACGTTGTGCACTTTTGTTGCAAAATCTAAAGCCAAAATCTGAAAATTAACAATGACATAATGAATAATAAAAGTTTGGTTATACAGTCTAATTTACCTTTGAAGCAGAAAGTTTCAAGTATTAATAAAAACAGCTCTCAATTAATGTGCAGAAAAATATCAGCTCAATTGTCAACGCGATCGGTATATTTGAAACCCCTACTTACAAGTTCCTGGAGCGCAGGCGAATTTTTTTTATTCAGTGATCAAATAGTCCCCGCGTAAAAATGCCTTTTGTTACCGCTGTCATCCCTCTTCATGCTAAACAATAAAACCACAAAGAAAAATGATTTCAAACCGTGGATGTCTCTGCCAGACCTGACGCCAAGCTGCTAGTTGTTCACAGATACCCAGCCGTTCACAGAGTGCTAACAAAATTCGGATTTTGTTCGAAATGGATGCTATAATGTCTCGATTTAACTACCCAAGGGCCCTTCACGTAGCCATTGGTGGCATACTACGAAGACGGATTTGCAAATATAATTCGCAAGATTAATCTGAAGAATACTGTGAAACTGGTTTTGCTTTACGACAAACTTAGCATTAGAAAAAATGGATAAATCAGGGTTGTAGTAAGCTTCAACACAAAACGGAATTTCCGAAGTCCAGACAGGTTTTGTTGGACTGAAGAAAATTTCACTTATCCTGCAACATGTACAAATTCGTGAATCTCCTTGTGAATATGTTGCGTTTGCATGCATTTGATGTAAAATTTCGCACCATATCTAACAAATGCTGAAGTATTTCCGTGTATCATTCACGAAAAGGGAAAGTAGGTTGATATTTCAACCTTCCGACAACACCAGTGAAAACGAAGTGTGTCAAATTGAACATGAAATAAAAGAATAGTTGTGGCACTCTCGTTCATTAGGTTAGCGAGTACTAGTGTAACGGTGACAACACTGATGGGGAAGGCACGTGAGTAGCACGTTTTTTCGTAAATACGCTTTGCCTTCCTTGAAAAGTAAGATCTACCACGAAATTAATGCAGACCCTTTGTAGCATTTGCTTGGATATGAGCAAAAGCCAATCAGTATCCTGAAAAATTTAGCAAGACCCGTTCGAAGAGAACATGGATATTTAGTTTTTTAAACAAGATGCATGTGGGAGTGTTGCTTCCCTCTCCAATAGTCTGTATTTGTTCAGTTGGCATTTTCTAACAAATAACTCAGGGAAGGCCTTTATCCTTCCATTTTGTGCCGTTACCAGGATAAGAATGAAGATCTCTTTGCCATAACCCTCTGAGTGTACGGATGTCCAGTGGACTTTGAGGAGGTTGCGGAGGCTGTTGACCGGGGTAATTTGGCGGCGCTGAAGACCATTCTCAGAGGCCGAGCGAAGGCAGCCCTGGATGCGACCAGAAGAGGACCTCGGAAGATGAACTAGGCTGGCGCGATTGATGCCCTTGTAGCGGATTTCGAAGTGCCAACCGATCGCCAGGAGGCTATGAGGCGGTTTAAGGCTGCCAGGATACCACCTGGATCTGACCCGACCGTGTTTTCCGCCGGCCTGCAGCAGTCGTTTAATCTGCGCTTTCCCGTGACTAGACCAAGTGTCGCGCCACCATTTGCTGTCGGAGCAGTTCATCGGAGGAGTGCAGCCCGTGCTTTGTGCACAGTTGCGGTTGACGAGAGAGACTGGCCTGTTAGTGGAAGGGAATCGGCTGAGGCCGCACTGGTAACATTCCAGTCACAAGAGAACAAAGATGATCCAACAGTGGAAGATCTGAAAACCAGAGTAAACTTACTCGTGGAACAACTTGCAACTATGAAAACGGAATCGCGGAGGTGCGCTCAAACGAACCGATGCTACAAGCGTAGCAGGCTTGGCCATTGGAATACTCAGTGCCTTCGTACGCGAACACCTGTGCGTAATTACTTCTCCATTCAAGGGTGGGTTACAATTAGCGTAGTGATACAGGCTAGCATACAGGCCGTTAGCGAGATAGATGGAAAAAGGAAATTATGTTTTAATGATGCAGAAGCAGACATGTTGCTTAGACGGAGAAGGAACCAAGCTCAATGCAGACCACGCACATCAGCCGTGAAAGCAATAGCTGGATATCGACCAAAGTTTGACGGATTTTGAACGCATTCAAAATGCCTAGGCGGTAAGTCCGTGAAGCACGCGTCCTTGATCAGCCCAGACATAGAACAGACAATATTGGGGGCAAATTTTCTCGAGGGCACAGATTCCGTGATTAACCTAAATCAGGGAAAGCTTGTGACAGGGTATAGCGCAATCAAGCTTGGAGTTTATTCAAGCGCCGCCGTGAGTGAGGTGCATGTCCGAATGCTTCCGTCTTGTAATGTACCATCAATACGGTTTGTGGTCGAGGAATATCCCGAACTTTCCACGGGCGCTGAGGATCCGCTTGGTTTCTGTCCGTGTATTGAACACGAAATTCCTCCGGCGTCAGAACGCTCTGGACCTTATGGCCCCCGTCCGTTGCCGCTCCATCCATAAACAGAATGGCATATTCGAAAAGGCCATTAGTGCACTCAACTCCCCAGTTGTGCTTGTAAAAATGGCGAATGGAAAATACAGGTTTTGCGTGGATATCCGTCACTTGAATCAACTGTTCGTAAAGTAACTTGTAGCTATGCCTTTGATTTGATTCTATCCAGCATTCCAGATATTTCACTGCGTTTGACTTGGGATCCGAATGCTGGCAACTCCCTATCAAGGTGAAGGACCGGGAAAAAAACGGCGTTCACGGTTGGGAACACAATATCAATTTCGAAGAATGCCGTTTTGTTTGTCTGGGGCGCCATTCACATTCCGGCGCTTGGTGCTTCGATTAACGAATGGACTGCCGAAGTTTGCCGAGTACGGAGAGGATATCATTTTGTACAGCGATTCGGAACGAGAACATGCAGTTCACTTGAAGGCTGTATTGAAGCGGATTCGGGGGGCTGGTCTGAGGATGAATGAAGCCAAGACACAGCTCACCCGGTGTTTGGTGACACAGCTGGGGCATAAAGTGTGTCATGGAGAAGTTAGCCCACTACCAAAAGATTTAGCGAAATCGAGGATTGTGCTGTTTCCAATTCAAAGCGGTCCCTACGGCAGATTCTTGGAAAAGCAGCATACTAAATCCTGTTTGTTTCAACACGGTCGGTGCGTTACTGTACGAATCACTCGGGCAAATCGGAAATTTGAATGGATCGGAAAAGAAAATGAGGCTTTCAAGTGTGTCAAAGAACGGATGTTGTATCAGCAACTGACCATCAAACTGCCCAGGGTTGGAGAGATATTCACTGTTACAGTGGACCCTAGTGAGCTCGATATCGGCGCAGTCCTAAAGCAGATGAATGGAGTTATCAAATATGCCTGCCGTGTCCTGACTGACCCAGAATTTAAGTACTCAACCATTCGTGAGCAATGTTTGGCGGTCAACTGTACCCCGTATAAGCAGAGGTCATATCTGCTTGAACACAATTTTATGTCCAAACCGATCGCAACCCCCCGTGCTGGATCAGGACCATCAGGTATCCTGGCGGAAAGCTCGTGTGCTGGGCACTCCGTTTGCACTCCGCTTTCTCAAACCAGCAATGCCATGGAAGGAGAACCACTTGGCTGATAGACTGTCAAGACGAGAGGCTGAAGATTAGGCCAATGAACTGGTCGTTGAACTGGATCCCGGAAGGTTGGTGCCACTCCGATGGCAGGACACTGTGTTACGGAAGATTGCCGCCGCCTTGTTGGATGGCAGGTGCATTGAGAACGGAGAGGAAGAAAAGGAACTAGAAAAGTTCCAGAGTCCCTTTGATTGCCTGATGCTGAATGAAGCTGTCGTTTTCCCCGGAACGCCACTGGTTCGGATGTTGTGCTGCCCGTGATACCTGGCGTCTTGTGACGGAAGCTTATCTTCGGATGCCATGAGATGTCACATACATGGTGCACCAAGACGTACGACCTACTTCGGCAGAGAGCCTAAAGGCCCGGGATGAGAAGTGGACACCACAGGATAATGTGGTGTCCTGTCAGCGGTACCAGGTAATAAAAGGGAGCAAGTCATCCCACGAATCGTATTCCCGTCTCAGAAGTTCGTAAGTTTTGGTCCGTTCACGTCATGGGTAGGTTTCCGTTGACAACCAGTGGAAATTAGTACATCGTAATAATGACAGAACACCTGTCGTGGTTTATCAGGGCGATAGCCGTACCTAATCAACGGGCGACGACGATCAGTGGAGTGGTAATGCACCAAATCGTGGCCAAACATAGGGTGCCAAAAATGATCCTGCCTGATTAGGGGCCTTGCCTCAAAAGCAAAGAGATTAGGGATTACTTGCAAAAGCTGGGTATCAGGCGGCTAAGGACAGCACCATGCCACCCGTTAACAAATGGCCCAACCAAACTTAATAACCGAGCGATCACGGAGTGTCTGGCGGCCAAAGAGATGACTGGGAAATGAACTTACCAATGGTGTGACTAGCCAATCGCGTTTCCACACAGCCAACCACAAGCATATCCTCGTTTATGTTGATGAACGGTCAACTTTAGCGCCTTTCAGTTGATCGGTAAATTGGGTTGTGGCCGGAAATACGCTTGTCTCCGTGGGAGCTGGAGTAATAACGTATGAGAGTTCGAGAAAACTTGACTGTCATTCAGGAATGGACTAAGCAGAGAACGGCAAGTGGAAGGACACAAATGTTCCTCAAAAGCGCAAAAGTCAAGTGGAAGGATCGTCGAAATTCTGGGAGGAGTGGACTCGGGTAGCGAAAGCTAGGAAGTCGATGGCAAGGAACGTTTCTCGTTGCCGACCACCAAGGGACGTTTATACCATTCCAGTTGGCCAAGGATTTAGAAAAGTAAATAGGAGGCAGCTTGAAGTTTACGCTTCTTGCAGGTAGCTGAAACTGATTTGCGAGGTGAACGTTTCATAAGGCTTCCGTGAGTGGACGATACAAGCAACACGCCACCTGGTAATATGCATCACACTCGGCTCTATGCGGCTGGACTGGAGTAAACGGCTAAATTTGCTACAAAAAAGCTAATTTATTCTGACTGTGATCTAACGCGCTCATCAGTCTGGGATGTTCTCGAATAAAGTCGGATTTAGAGGCACTCACGTAGAAAGCTTATGCAGTCATGTGCGCACATATTGGCCGCTAAGCATCGGTCATGCACGCTGGCGAGAGCTGAACAGTTTCTCTTCCACAGTGACCCCTCGAGTTAGCAGGCCAAAAGGCTCAGTGAATTATGCAGCCTTGCACGCCACAGACAAGGAACCGGACTGACTGCAGAACACTTTTGTTCCTCAACTGACGAACTAATTTGCAGGAGCCGCATCAATCGCATTCGTGAGACAGTCTGACGGAGACAACAGGATTGCGTGAGTTTCTATATCGATCGCAGAGCTGCGCCAAATTTTCATCAGTAACTTCTGCCTTCCAGATATTTTGTGCGCAAAACCTAATGTGCACCAGTGGTTTGCAAAAACTGTCTTGGCTCAGGCTTAACTCTATGTTGAATTCTAGGGATAATATCAAGTAATGCTTTCTACCGACGCATAGTATTTATGTTCTAGTATACCTGACATCCCCAGGCAGCTCAAAATAGAGCTTTAAGCCATGACACTTGTTTCATCTGGATGCTATCAATGTTCGCCCTCATGAGTACACACGAAGACGGGTTACTCGTCCTCTCACTCTTCTCCACTGTTCATCAGAGACGAACATTCAGGATGTAAGCCAAGTGACTAAGCTGCACAGAGTATTACTTATTAGTTGCCTCCGGCTGTGATTCCAAGACGGACCACGGAGCGATGCGACAGGTCGTGGAGTTTTCATATAGTCCCATGTCACCGGAAGGAAGGGCTCTTGCCTAACTGGATACTGGCTGATAGTTGTTCTGGTTCATCTTCACAAGCTGGAGAACAATAGCTGTTTCTAAATGCGCTACAACCGACTGTAGCTTGACAGCATCTAAGATTACTCTTGATCCCATGTAACATCACCCCGTTAGCCAGGCTATCATCTTGGTTGCCAGAAAAATTAGTGCGCGTAGGTGGTCAGGCTAAGCGGATCTGTGACTCCATTAGACGGACGACGGGATATGAATGCATGTGAGAACGCCGGTTAACGTCAGATCTAGGTTTGCGCTCATAGAAAGTTGCCATGCTAACTTCCGAGCCTAAGGTCTTTGGCCACAACGGTGCAACAACAACAAACTCGACCTGATCACATTGCCGGTAAGTAACCAAGATACCAATAAATAACCTTCTGCCACTCGTTCCAAGGCGTACGTGTGGATTAGGATCTAACGCTGTTTCAGAATCGCTTCTTCCTTCGTTCTTCAGGAACACCTTAAGGGCGAAAGTATGGCTTAGCAGCTGAGGTACTAATATATCCGAATGTTAGGCGAATTACCCAGAGATGTCTCCTAGATGCTCTTCCAACCGCTCCAAAATCAGATGTTACTTCATAGTGGGACTAGATCAACAACACCTTGCGCTGGGATTTCAGCCCTTGCCTTTGCGCTGCCACATCTACTCAAGCAATTGATATGAAACCAAACAGTGGCACCGCGCAAGTCTCAGATGAATATTTTCCCCTGTCTCGAACGTAGCTTGATGGGACAGATTATCAGACATCAGTTGAAAGTGAGTGTTCACGTAGAATGTTACGTCTAATGATCGCGGAAATCAAGGAAATGGAACAGGCCCACAGCAATATTATGGCTTGATTCTGAGATGCCCAAAATAGTTTACGGCTTTGAACACTGGATGTTTAAAACGCAGCTCACCAGCTGAAAAGTTGCCAGCTAGGCGTCGTCAAGATGATATTTTCCTGCCTCGTGCCTTCTTCATTTTAATTGCGGCTACGGAC